TTCAGTGAATATTCAATGAATATTCAAATATTTATTCAAAATTTTTCAATGAATATTTGAATATTAAAAGTATTGAAAAAATAAATATTCGAATACAAATTTTTTGACCAGATAAGATCTCTAGAGTAGACCTCAGTATAATACATTGTTAAGAGTTTATATCATATAAAATTTGAAATAACGAGTAATTTAAATTTTAAAAAAACTACATTTAATTAAAGACCTTGTAATTTGCACTGGGTCTAATATATAGAGATCTACTATTATAGTTTATGAGATATAATTTTTATTATTTGTAATATAAGTTTAATATAGATAATTAAATTATTTTCAAGATATTTTAATTTATCTACAAGTGGCTTTAAGAAACTATTGAAGTCTTTAGGTGATTTTGGACCAGAAATAATTGCGGTTATCATCAAATTTTCTTTCTTTACTCTTTGATCTAGAGGTAGATTCATATTCAAAAGTAAAATGATCTAGCAATCATTTTGCTTTTTTAAACAATTGATAACTGTCTGTGGATACAATTAAAGCAATATCATGAGAATCCATAAATAAACCTGATGCAACTAAGGACTTATACGTATCTGTTGCTATCAAAGATGTCTTTGATTATACTATTTTCAGACACATATTCTTTTCTTGAGGTATATTCATATTAATATTGAAGAGTTTTTGCATGTAATGGATCCTTATATTGTATTTGTAAACTGTCAATTATAGAAAAATATGCAGCAGATTTTTGGGCTTTTTTTGGTATTTGTCCAGGCACATATCGTAGTTCATCACACTTAGGACATATTTACAATTAATATTTTTTTACTATACACACAACAAGAGTTCCAACACATATATACGAGCTTTGGCTCAAGAGGATTAAAGTTTTAAAAGTTGTTTGAAGTTTATGTAAAGACACTTTTAAAATTTTAAATATCTTCAGAATTTCATTAAACACTTGATTTGGTAAAGAGTATTTATTTTTAATATATAGAAGATGAAGTCCCTGAATTAAATTATCTAATAAGTTTTAAGGAAGAAAGAAAAAAACAATAAGTTCAAAAAACTTTGATTAAAACTCTATTAATGACTGCACTTAGAAATAATAGATTTACTGTTATTATTTCCTCCTCCTAATTCAAATTTTTGTGTCTCTAATTCAAATTCTTGTTTATCTAGTTCAGATGTTCGTTCATTTAGTTTGAATTCTTGTTTATCTAGTTCGAACTCTAATGTATTGTTTTCTAAATCAAACCCTAATCCTAATAAGTTACCATTTTCTAAAGTATTAGAAGCCGTAAAAAGTAAAGACCCCTGCTTCACTATTTCTTCAAGATCATCCAACCCAAATATGTTCTTATCAAAATTATTTAATTTCAACTTATTATCTGACAAATTGGAAACTAATGCTGAAGGTAAAGTATTAAATATATAATTTGACATTTCTGGTCTATCATAAGGTTGTATATTATCATTGTATAGATTTAAGTCTTGTATATCAATTAATAGAATAGGTAGCATATTTTTAAGATCTTTTTCCTATCGTGATGCCTTGTTTGAGTAGAGACGCTTACATATTTTCTAATATTGCTAAATACATTTTGACAAAATGTACAAACACACAACACTGGTCTTCCTATTATTTTGGTTGATGAGTTATTATAAAAACATGCAATCATAAAATAAATCAAATATTGTACTTTATAGATTAAAGTATCTGCATAATGCAAATTTTTTTTATATATAAAAAACTAAATATCGCAATTAATATATGTTACATTAGTATTTAAGAAAGAAATTTTTACTATTTGGCATGAATAGTATTTTAAACTACAAAATATAGTAGATTATACATATATATATAATTATAAATCACCTAATCAGCTTTTAATCACTAACTATAAATACTATTAAATCCTTTTTTTAAAAAAAATAAATCTTACAAAAAATACTTATTTGCTTGCAAAAATGTCTAGTTTTAACAATTCGAATAAT